CTACTAGTAAGGCACTTGCTCCTAGTAGCGATGCACCTGTTCCTAGTAGCTTCCTGTTGCTACTAGTAAGAGAAGGAAAAAGAGAAGAAAGGGAAGACACATGTAGGACAATACAAAACGGTCAAAATGGAGAAGTGAAGGGAAGAAGACAAAAGTAGAAAAGAGCAGTAGAAAAACGTAGATGAAAAAACAATTGTCGGCATAGACCCCAAACAGTTTCAGTAGGATATATTTTTGCGTTCGTTTCTTGAATTCCAATGTTGGAGGAAACCCAAGGATGATATCAATCTTGACACGCTGCACCACTGTTGCATTCATAGCCACAAAACCAACCCGGACAAAGGCCAGAGCTCCCAGAAGCCCCGCTCACATATCCAAATCTGTTGCAGTTGCTGCTGCAAACGCTTCGCTTTTTTGGAACTAGAAGCTTCTTGCTCCGTTCGTAGCGATGCCAGGAGCCCCTAGTAGCGTCCTTGCTCCTAGTAGTACGGCCAGGAGCCCCCTAGTGAAAAAAATCCAATGAACATGTAAAGTATTAGGCCCTTGATGAGTAAATCCTAAGACCTCTCCGGAGGTGGGACACAAGGGCAGGAAGCTACTAAAAGGTCTTTCTTTCCGGCGCCAGACTAGTGGTGCATCGTCGCCGGACAAGTCGCCGTTGCGACCTCGAGCGGACCTTTCGCGCTGCAAAGTGTTTGAGCAGCGCTGTGTTTCCAGAGTTTCTTGAGCAAAGTCGCACAGCGTCATGGGAATTGGGAGGCAAAAACGAGTTTCTGAAAACTCCGTTTTCTTTGCAGTTCCACCTGTGCCAACCAACACGGGTGTCAACCAATCACACTGGAAGATGTACTTTGGCACTTCCAGATTCAGAACATCAACCGAGCCAAAATGTAAGCGTGGTTGGCCGAGACGCTTCCCACAGCACAATACGCACCGTGGCTAGAGGAGACCGTGAAACCCCTAAGTAGAAACTGAAGTCTTTCGGAAGTTTTTACTTTTTGAGTGGAATGCCTCCAGCTTCTGTACAGCTAGTAATTACAAGTGCATCGCTAGTAGTAACAAGTGCCTTACTAGTAGTAACAAGAAGCTAGTAGGAACAGGTGCCACGCTTCTAGTAACCAGTGCCTTAATATTAGTAACAGGTGCCTTACTAGAAGAAGAGTTGTCGGTGGAGGTTCCGGAGCAAGTTCCGGAGCCGGTTGTGGATCAGTTTATCGCGTCGAGTGCTCACACGTCACGATGCCTTTGGTCATGCTGACATGTTACACCATCAGACTAACGTGCGGCTTTTGCTAACCTGCTGTCATCTCTGACACGCTGAGGTGTTGCTACTCCAACAAGCTGCTGACATGGTGCCATGTTGGTGTGTTGTGCATTTAGAATGCTGCGCATGATTGTCATTGTTACGCTGATGTGCCGGCGTGGTGTTGTTGCACTGGCACGTTGTCAGGCTGTCGTGCTGACATATTGTTTTTCTGGCGGGGGAAACGCTAACATGCTAACACAAAGTCGCGTTGAGATAAAGCAGTAGTGTCACATGCCACTTGTCGATAAACTTGCCCAGTTCGCCAACACATGCCAAATGTTACCATTACGAAATCAGCAAATTCGTGCCCAGCTGTTGGTGATTTTTGGGGCTTACCTTTTTCATTCCAGATTGGGTTTCGAGAGTTCCAAGGACGCTCAGATCAAAGCCCTGACGCCGCCGAAAGTTCCAGTGCCGGACTTCAAGGAAATTCGCTCTTTGTTTCGGCGGTGCTCAGTCATGTCGTGCTTTGGTGGCATTGGATTTTACACAGCCATGAAACTAAACTATTAGATATTGACACTTTTGAATGCAGAATTTGTAGTTGGGGAGTGTTGAGATCTTGGGGTTGAATGGCAATTCAACTTCCCATTGTCCTTGCTTCAGGCCTAGGAGAAAATGGGGGCGTAGTTTGGTGAACAATTTCCTTACAGTCTTAACTCTTAACAGCTTATCAGGCCAGGCACGCTAGGTGCAGTCTTGGGGACCATTCAAAAGGACTGCATTTACAAAACAGGATTCGCAAAACGGAGAACTTCTCAGGATCGTTTGGGCCCATGTGCTGTTGGTCCGTGTGCCCAAACCAAATGAGCCAGAGATTTCCGAAGTTTTTTTAGCGGAGGCCATCGCTAGTAGGTTGGAGGCCACCTCTCTTAGGTTGGAGGCCATTCCTAGTAGATTCCTTTTGCTAGGTGGAGGCCATCGCTACTAGTAACAAGAAGCCACTAGGGTCTCCTGGCATCGCTACTAGGAGCAAGGACGCTACTAGGGTAGGAACAAAAAGCTATTGTTTTTTTCTCAAAGACGAATCACAAACCTGTCGACAAGCACTGAGCCGGAGGGTTCCGGTCAACGGCCCGGCCGCCCGCCGGCCCGGCTAAAACCTGTGTGGCGCGATCTGCCAATCAGAACGAAGGTTGACAGCGTTCCGGTAGCTTGTTCCTAGTTAGCGTCCTTGCTCCTAGTAGCGATGCCCTTTGTTCCTAGTAGCTTCTTGTTCCTAGTAGTAATGGCAGGAGCTACTAGTAGCACCCTTGCACACCCACAAGGCGCCCAGGGGTTCTTTGAGCAATCCGCTGTTCTTTCCTTTTAGTGGCGAGGTCGACAGAGCAATGCTGTCGCTACCAGTGTGGCATTGTAATACAACCTCATTCAGGAGCGATCGGACGCTACTAGGAGCAAAGGGCATCGCTACTAGGAGCAAGGACCTTACTACTAGGAGCAAAGGACGCAGGAGCAAGAAGCCAGCTAAGAAGCTAGCTAGCAGCTCCGGGCATCGCCACTGGTTCGCACCTGCGCCCGAAAGACCAACTTCACCTGGTGACATCCGGTCAACAACGTGCGCTGCCGCAAGTTGCTGCGCATGTCGAAGACCTCGTTGGCACAAGCTTTTTAGAAGCGATGCGCTCGTTACTAGTAGCTAACACTGTTCCTAGTAGTAAGGCCAGGAGCCCCTAGTAGCGAACCTTGTTCCTAGTAGCGATGCCAGGAGCCCCTAGTAGTGAACCTGTTACTAGTAGCTCTTCAGAAGCATGGGTCAACTTCCACCTTCTGCAAAGCAGTGTGCGAGTGAGTGTTGGAAGCGTGAGCGTATGATCTTGGAGCAGTGTGTGCTTACTACACGGCGTTGGTTGGCCATCCGTCGTGGTTTGCACAGATCCCGTTTACCCAAAAGAACCTACTAGCGATGGCCTCCACCCTACGGTCTTCACCGAACAAAGGGGGAAAATGGAAAGTTTCGTTTGACACCTTCGATGAGTTTCGTGAGGAAAAGTGACAAGCAATGCATGTAGAAAATAACAAGAATAATATAGGGACACGTTGTTGCTGAAACCTCATGCAAACACTCGAGGCTGAAAGCGACGAAGATGCGTTTCTTCTTCAAACGATGGCTCGACTTCGAAACCAAGTGGGGTGATGAGCAAAGCCTGGGCCTCGAGAAACTGACACATGGATTTCGTTTTTTGCTTGTTCTCACCACGTGGCATCTTTCTCACCTCATTGTGGCGTCAAAGGTTTGGCTCAAAGGAGGTCTCCGTGCTTCGAAGATCACACGTGATCTCGTTCGATCCTTCCAATGTCGTCGAGGCGATTCACTGCCTTTCCTTTTGCCCGGTAACAAGAAGCTATTAGCAACAAGTGCCTTACCACTAGTAACAAGAAGCTAGTAGAAACAAGTGCATCGCTTCTAGTAACAAGTGCCTTACTAGTAGTAACAAGAAGCTATTCGTTAATTTTGCCTTTCTCGTCAAATGACGTCGAACGACGATGGAAGACGAGAGACGAGAGAGGGAGTCGGAGTTCTTGGGGGAGGAACTCGAGGAGCTTTGACGTCCTACGAGGTGGGGCTGACCTTTTTGTTGCTGCGTTTCGCGGAAGAAGCTGCTGAAGAAAGGAATGTGACAAGCGAGGGGCTGCAACGAGGCCTTGAATTTCATGAATCCAATGATGACATGTCACTTGATGAAGTTAATGTCGAAATGCCGAAGTTGATTGGCTGTTTGCTCCACGAGTGGTGTGCGAATGAGAAGGGCTGCTTGGAGAAATTGCATGATCGGCTAAGAAGAAGTGCCAGAAGTGAATCTGCGATTTGGGAAGTCTTGATCTCGGGATTGAGATCCGTGAACTCTCCAGATGCCTTGTTCGATGTCTTTCGTGGCTTAGAATCCATTGTTTGCAGAGACTTTGTCTCCCCCTCCCAACTCCATTCAAGCGGCGCATTTGGGCAAATGGCACGCAGGCTGATATTGTCCTTCAAGCAGGCATCCTTTGAAGCTATCGTCAAACTTTATGACCAAGTGCAAAATTGTCTACTGCAATTTGATGGAAGAAGTGAAAGAAGACTTGACGGACTTGACGAAGTGCAAGAAATGCGGTCCGAGGTGCAAGAGCAGCAAGAAGTGAAATCAACTGTCTCGACGGCCGCTGCGCACGCCAGCGCTGCGCACGCGGACTCTGCACGATCGCTGCCACACATACATCGCCACACTCCAACTTCGCTTAGTGTCTCGATGAGTCGTCTGCCATATGCTGTCCTGAAGGAGTCTGTGAGACAAAGGACGACTGACTTCCATCTGGTATTTTTGGACTATGTCAACAGTGCTCAAAACGGATTTCTGGATTCGGCAGATGCTTCGCTTCGTTCTTTTCATGACAAGAAAGTCTTAGGAGAGGATGCTTCGCTCCCCGTGAATGCCATTCTGGCGCTTGCCAATCTGAATCTTGATATGCGACAAGTGGATGATGCACTACAAGCCTTGGAAGACAGCATTCGAGCAGCGCAGGAAACATCTGACAGCAGCTGTCTTTGTGCATGTCTTTATTTGCTAAGCTTCATTCTTCAGATCACTGGGTCGGATGCCAAGGGGTCACAGTCATCACAGCAAGCGTCACAAGCCATGATGCATCGATGCCTCGAGCGATCTGAAATGCTTGGATTGCCCTTGTTGCAATGCCTTTGCTGCATGAACATCGCTCGAACTTTGGCGAAAGACGCAGAGAAAAGTGCTTCCCGAGAAGGACATACGTTTGGACGGACCAGATTTGTTTTCTCGAAAACGTGCGAGACATGTTTCTCATGTTTCCTGGCCTTACTGGAGCAAGGTTCGCTACTAGGAGCAAGGACGCTACTAGTAGCTCCTGGCTATTACTACTAATAAACAGTTTTCTTTTCGTTTTTTTCGTCCAACCTGGAGGACATGGACACGGCTCACATGGTAGTGGAGCTGCGATCTCCGGTGCGACGTCATCGAGGATGTGGGGAGGAGCTCGAGGCTCTAAGCGCTCGACCGAACTTGTTTCATGACTCAGTTTTTTTCTAATTTCAGCGGTGTCTTTCTTCCTTGTTTGGCGTATAATAGGCATAATATTATATATATATATATTATATATTAATTATGTAATATATAATATCTTTCTTTTGTTCTTCCTTCAACCTTTGGGCATTTCTGGATTTTGGATTGTTTTTTCTCAAAGACTGCAGGAGCAGTTTTGTTTGGGCTTGTTCACGCAGCTTTTATTTCGACCATTTCAACCTAGGTAGCATTTTGTTTTGCTGGGGTGATTTGGTGATCCAATCTTGCCAAGACCTAGTTTGGATCATTTGGGTTCGTACTTCAACGCCGCTGCTGTTCCTTGTGCCACTGTCCCTTATTGCCCTACTAATAGCGCTGGCCTCCAAATCAGCAGTTTTTGCAACTGTTTCCTTCTTGCTGAGAGGCTCAACGGGCACCTTGGGCAGCGCCACGCAGATGGCGGGCTTCAGCGGCACTGCACAGGTTGCACTGGCAGCGCAAGCTGCACCGCTCGCCGCTTGCAGTGCTGCGCTCCTTGAGGCATTGCAAGGTGCACCACCAGATCCACATGCGCAGGTCGGGAGAAGACCCTTCAGTCCAAGAAAGAAGAGACAAGGACCTGATCAGGATGATACGCCTTTTTCAACCTCGCTTCGACTACTTCAGTTTCCCACCAAATCATTAGTGCGAGCACTGCTTCAAGGAAGCCCCCCCTAAAAGCGTCCTAGGGGGCTTCCTTGAAGAAGTATGAGCTTTCAAGCCTCCTAGCTTACTCCCTTACTAGCGTCTTTGCTCCTAGTAGCGAACCTTGTTCCTAGTAGTAAGGCCGCAAGCCCCTAAGTAGCGTCCTAGCCTCCACCCTACTTCCCCAGGCCCAAAAATTAAATACTTTTCTTGGGAGGTCTCCACCATAGAGGCGCCGGTCTCGGTTTCTGGAGCGTTTGCTCATGCAACAATGGCATCCCTGCTTTCCACATGCAACGGGGACACAGCGTTCTTCAAAACAAGAGCCAAAGTGCTTTTGTGCAACGCTGGCATCTCAGACGTCTTCGGTTGGCGAGCGTTGAAGCTGAATTCATGCAAACATGTGATGGATTTCTACAAAGACAGCTTGACCGCAGAGGAGCATGCCTTGGCACTACAGCTTTCAGATGACAATGAGGTCTTAGAGCAGTTGCGACGGGAACTGCCACATGCTGGACACCTGTGGGTGAACTCTGTTGCCAAGAGTGCAACTGGTCGAAGTCTTTCCGTGAGGACGGTGCCAATCTTTCAATCCTTGGTTTTTCAAACGGGCGGTGCCTTGCGTGCGGTGCGCCACGAGGCCGCTTTCGATGCCAAGCTTTCTTGGGGACGAGCTGCCACGGATCTCCGTCTCTCCCAGGGACAGCTCTTGGCGGCCTATGTCTCGGTCCACCCCTGCGGGACGGGCGAACCACCCGTGCTTTGCCAATTCTTTTTGAGCCTCGCTGTGATTCACAAAAAGGCTGCGAATCCAGTTGATGCAATGGCAGCAGCCACGCGAGCTGTATCAGTGGCTGCCCACGCTGGCTTAGAAAAAGAAAAAGCCGAGGCTCTTTTGATGATGGCACAACTGAAGCTCCAAATGCAAGACCCCTTAGCAGCACTGCACCTGGCGGAAAAGATCGAGACCTCTGCCTTTGGGGGTCATTATGGTGAAGTTGCTTTGCTAGAGGCAGAAGCTCTCCTGGATTTGCTCAGCAAAGTGTGCAGTCGCAACCAGTCGACTTTGCTCGAAGCCACTGTGGAAAGGCTTGAAGTTGCAGTGAAAAGTTTGGAATCTTCGGAGCTTTCAGCACCTGCAGAAGTTCGCTGCGCGGCAGAAGCTACACAAGCTAGCCTGGCACAGGCCTCAACACAAGCTTCACAAACTGCTACAGCTCGGAGCAGCACTGCACCTAGAAGCGATGGCCTCCCTCAGAGCGCTGCTTGCGCCACTGCTTGCGCCCTTGGGCACTATTGGTTGGCTCGTTCGTATCATCAGCTGAAACGAACAACGCAGCGGGACTTCCACGCCCAGCAGTTTCGCATTCAAACCACTGGGAAGATCACCACCGAACAGCGGTCTCCTTACCCGATTTGAGGAAGGAATCGAGGAAGAAAAGGAAAAAAAGGACAAAAAATGAGTGTCTGAGATTCATTTCTCATAACCTAGAAGAGATGGCCTCCAACCTAGTAGCTTCTTGCTACTAGTAGCTTCTTGTTACTAGTAGTCAGGCCAGGAGCCGTTCGTAGCGATTTGCCCCTAGTAGCGAACCTTGTTGCTAGTAGCTCTTGTTTTGGAAGAATCTTTGACCAAGATCTTGTAGGTCTCGCTTAGGGTCTCTCTTACTCAAGCGGTTCTACGCAAGCGGGCCTCCACCTCCCAACTCTTTCAGCTGCAGTAGCTTTAGCTCTCTGAGCCTCAAACAGAGAGAGAAGGGAAGAAAGAGAGAGAGAGAGACCTCAAAAAGAAGAGAAGATAAAACTCCTTTAAAGAAGAAACTCCTTATTGTTTATGGAGCTTATGATGCCGACCCATGAACAACACCCCTTAGAAGGTTGGAAGGTCCGGGGCCCAAATGGGGGGGTAGGCCGCTAGAGGTGCGTAGTAGCTAGAGGTAGCTAGCAACAGCTAGGTAGCTACTACTGGCAGGACACAGGATAGCTCACGCTTCTTCAAGGAAGCTCCCACTAATGATTTGGTTAGAGAAACTTAAGCTGCCAGGAGCTACTAGTAGCGAACCTTGTTACTAGCAATGGCCTCCAAAGCTATGAAATTGTATTGAGGAGAGACATCCCTAACAGGAGCAAAGAGGCTACTAGGGGCTCCCGGCATCGCTACGAACGGAGCAAGGACGCTACTGGGGCTCGTGGCCTTACTACTAGGAGCAATGTTCTTGTTCCTAGTAGCTTCTTGTTACTACTAGTAAGGCACCTGTTACTACTAGCGTGGCACCTGTTACTAGAAGCGATGCACTTGTTCCTAGTAGCTTCTTGTTACGCAAGGTCAGGAGCCCCTAGTAGCGTCCCTGCTACATGTAACAGGATATGCATCGACGTGGAATGTGGCACACTAACTTCGCAATGAGCCTTGCACGCTTAGCCTTCCTACCAGCTTCCGCCTACTAGGTAAATCAGGAGATCACCATACCAAGTGCCATAACAAACATATATACATATAGAGAGAGAGAGAGAATCTTGTAGCTAATGGTTTACCAAGCGTCACGCTCGTCGTTCTTGTTTCCCTCATTCTTGCTTTAGGATATTTGTCCAGAAATGGTGCGGTGTGGGACGAAGCAAACATTGGAAGCTATTAGGTTGGAGGCCATTGCTATTAGGAGCAAGGACGCTACTAGGGGCTCCTGGCCTTACTACTAGGAACAAGAATCTAGTAGGGGCTCCTGGCATCGCTAGTAGGAGCAAGGATGCTATTAGGTTGGAGGGTCCTGCTTGTAGCTATGAAGCCCCAAAAAGCGAGCGAAGACCGTTCACAATTGAGACTGAGGTCAAGAAGAAGTCCGCCAAAAAGCAAGGGACTATGTGGAGAGCCAAGCCTGAGAGCTGAAAAACGCTGAAGCATCATGATTGTCAGCTCTGAGTCAGCTCACGCCTTTACATCAAATCCCAGCCGTGGCAGCCGTTCTCTCACTTCTCTCACCGCCTCATGTCTCGTTTCACCGCAGTAAGGCTGCACAGTCTGCAAACCTGCGCGGAAAAACAGTTTGGTACCACAGACCGCTACTCGAACCACTTGTCGTTTGGAATGTGTTGAAGTTGCTGTGGAAGATGACATAGGGTGGAGGCCGTCGCTATTAGATTGGGTTGGAGGCCATCGCTGGTAAGTGGAGGCCATTCCTATTGGGTTTCTTTTACTTTTTAGGTCTAGTTTAGCGTGCTGTGGAAGAAAGCTGTGGCTCATCTCCGTGGCGTCGCTGCGTTGTTTCGAAAAATAGCACTGGAACTTGCTGCGTTTGGCCCTAGACGCTGGGAGAAGTTTTCACTTGCAAAGCCGGCAAAATGGCATGAACAACATACATCGATATCGATGAGACCAGTGTTTAGCAAGCATGCATGAGGCCATTCTTGTAGTGCTTTGGCCGAATTTCAAGACAGTGTGGAACACGAATGCAAGAAGTACAACTCCGATTGGGAAAGGGAAAGCATTGGGAACAGGCAGACAAGCGGAAAGTGACACGGACAGACAGAATAGCTGACAAGCCCAGCCTTGGATTGCACGCCAAAACAACCTAAGAGCGATGGCCTCGAACTTACTAGCGATGGCCTCCACCATAAGAACAAAAAAGAGGGAGAAGCAAAGAAAAGAAAAGGGCACGGGCGCCGGCGCGATTGCGGTGCCATGTTCCCAAGATGCTTGCAAGAAACTTAAGCTGAAGACTGGTCAAATCTGGCAGGTTCAAGAAGTTTCCCAAAGTTTGTGCCAGATGTGTTTCTGGAGGCCATCGCTATTAGGTTGGAGGCCATCGCTATTAGGTTGGAGGCCATCGCTTGTAGGTTGGAGGCCACCGCTATTAGGTTGGAGGCCATCGCTATTAGGTTGGAGGCCACCGCTAGTGGGTTGGAGGCCATGGCTAGTGGGTTGGAGGCCATGGCTAGCTATTAGGAGGTTGGAGGCGCAATTGGGTTGGAGGCCATGCCTAGGAGGTTGGAGGCCATCGCTTGTAGGTTGGAGGCCATCCTTATTGGAGGCCATTGCCCTATCAGACTTGCCAGATGTGTTTAGCGGGCCCAGGCATCCAAAATTCAATTGAAGATGTGGCATCGATGCGTGGCGATTTCAGTTTGATCTCCAACTTGACCCGGTTCTTCCTGGCCAACGCGTTGAATGCATCCACATGTATGCAAAGTATTTACCTGTCCCTATGTGTTCTGAACGCCTCAGGGCGAGCGACCCATTCCGTTGCACCGTTGTCGATTGAAACGAGACTGAGGTGAGTGAACTCGGTTTCAAAGGCCAGGTGTGCCTGATGGGCGGCGTTTTGTTGCAAGCATTCCTTTTAGATCTCTTAGTAAGTGCGGCGCAAGATGAAGTTTTGAAAAGATTTTTTAACCAGAAGGTGTCCAAAATTGCAAACAAAATCCAACAGAAACATGGCCAACTGGGCACGGCAAGTCTACCCCAGGTGGGGCGTTTCAGATTCGTTTGGAACGTCACTTTGGCACTGAGTGGTGGGCGGAGCTTCTGAGCCCGAGGCTGAGACAGAATGAAGGTTTTGACGTGCTTCCTATTCCGCGGAGAGGACTAGGTAGCTGAAAAGAGGACTAGGTAGCTAGATGTAGCTGGTAGTTTAAGTAGCTACTACCGACAGGACGGGACTACTAGGTCGCGCTTCTTCAAAGAAGTCCCCCCCGCCACCTTAAAGGCATCGCTATCCCTATTAGGTTCGAGGCCGCTTTTAGTAGCAAGGGCATCTACTAGTAGCTCCTGGCATTACTAGTAACGAGAATGCTACGAACGGAGCAAAGGGCATCGCTTTTAGGTTCCTTTTGCTGTTGGAGGCCTTGCAGAACGAAGGTTTCAGGTTGACTTCTTCCAGGTTCAACGTTTATCTCGCACGAAGCCTGAGGCTCCCATGAGGAAAAACGAATAGAGGCAGCAAAGAAGCGCTACAAGCAGCAGTGGCAGGCAGAAACACCATCGGCATGCAGCCACCGCTTTGTTTGGTCTTTCTGAACCCAGGGGGAAGGAAATATGGTTGCGGAGCGCAACCATCACTTTAAGCGAGGCGAGATGGAGAAGCTCCTGCAAGAGATATAATCTCGGAATGTATAGTAGCGCGCTTGTTACTAGTAGCACGGAAAAGCGAAGAAACATAGATTTAAAAAACAGCACTTGTTACAGTAGCTTCTTGTTGCTAGTAGCTACTTGCTCCTAGTAGTACGGCCAGGAGCTGCTAGTAGCCTCCTTGCTCCTAGTAGCGATGCCAGGAGCCCCTAGTAGCTTCTTGTTCCTAGAAGCGGTGGCCTCCAACCTAATAGAGAATGTTTTGGAACTGACGGAATCCGTCAAACTGCTCACAGGAAAACGAAACAGGGCAAAAACAAGCGGTCAATAAAAAACCGTGGCAAAGCTGTACTGAAACCACTAACGCACGCAGAGCAACCAAGCCACTCGCAATCATCACGTTGACGGGCCATTTGGCCGCCAGACAGGCAGAAAGGCAACGCCAAATTCTTGAAGTACCATACAAGTATGCCAAACTCGTGTATAGATCCGTGGACAACCCCATACAACCCCCAATCTCCCAAAAGTGTGGGGACACTCATGCTTTACATGTTGCTCTTGATTTCTACTAGAAAAGTCCGCATCCAATTTCGTTGCTATTAGGTTTTTTGCTGTTAGGTTTGTTAAATCCTCCATACCTCAGCTGAAGAATTGCTTTCAAGTCGGAACACGCGACATTAAGTCAGCTACCCTCAATCTCCCTTGTCAACATTGGGACCACCAAAGTTAGTCAACACAACCAATTGAATGTCCAAAATCCTGCACCACCTCAGCATCAATACCATACAGATCAGAATTGCCGACACGCACGGGAAACTGCATGGTTCTGTAGTGTCAAACCTTGTGTGTGCTATTTATTTTTATTGCGATCTTTGTGTGAAATGAACAACCTTTTCCTCAGGTTGTGTTTTAGTATTTCTGTTCCAGCACAAACTTAGTAAGACATTGCCACATAGCTCGTGCTTTGCGAAGACAATTATAGGAATGTGAAGCAATGAAGGAACTGCACTAGGAGCAAGGAGGCTACTAGGGGCTCCTGGCCATACTGCTAGGAACAAGAAGCTACTAGGGGCTCCTGGCATCGCTACTAGGAGCAAGGAGGCTACTAGGGGCTCCTGGCCATACTACTAGGAACAAGAAGCTACTAGGGGCTCCTGGCATCGCTACTAGGAGCAAGGACGCTACTAGGAGCCCTACTAGGAACAAGAAGCTACTAGGGGCTCCTGGCATCGCTACTAGGAGCAAGGACGCTACTAGG